ATTAGGATCTATAGGGTATTTGCAAGTTTACATGCAAGTTTACATGCAAGCTTCCTAGTTTCCTTCAGAAGATCCATCACATATTTTTGTTGTGAGATGAAAATACCGTGCCGTGAGTGAGCTACTTCAATTCCTAGGAAGTACTTCAATCTCCCTAGCTCTTTTATCTCAAATTCTCTAGCCAAACACTGTTTTAGAGATTCTCTCTCTTTTTCATCATCTCCAGTTACAATTATATCATCAACATACACTAATAGAACTATGACTCTCCCTGAATCAAAGTGCTTGATAAACAATGTGTGATCTCCTTGACTCTGTTTATATCCCATTGCTAGCATCATTTTGACAAATTTCTCGAACCAAGCTCTAGGAGACTATTTAAGGCCATATAAAGCTTTTTTCAGCTTACATACTTTGTTTGCTTCTAGATGACCTCCAAATCCCAGTGGAACCTTCATATATATTTCTTCTTCCAAATCACCATGTAGAAAAATATTCTTTACATCAAATTGTTGAAGCTGCCAATTGTAATTTGCAGCCAATGATAACAAAATCCTAACTGTATTCATCTTTGCAATCGGAGCAAAGGTTTCCTAGTAATCTATTCCATAGGTTTGAGTGTAGCCCTTAGCCACTAACCTGGTTTTATACCTTTCAACAGTACCACCTGTCTTGTATTTTACAGCGAAAACTCATTTACACCCCACTGAATTTTTTCCTTTAGGCAACTCTACCAATTCCCAGTCTGATTTTTCTCTAAGGCCTCTATTTTTATTTTCATTGCTTGCCTCCATTTCTCACTAGATAATGCCTCGGATAATGTAGTTGAAACAAAAATAGTGTTTAGGCTCATAAGAAAATTTTTGTGGGATGGTGAGAATTTTTCAAAAGACACAAAATTAGAGATTGGGTATAGTGGATGCTTAGTACATTCTCTGGTTTCTTTCCTAATGTCAATAGGCAAATCATAATCACTAGTTATAGTTTTAGGAGATTCATGCTCATTTTGAGAAACAGAGTCAAAAATTGTAGTTACCTCATTTTCAAAGTTAGGATCAGTTTCTTGGACTGGCACTGGTTCAGGATCTGAAACTTTCCTTCTTGAGTACACTTGTAATTCCTTCATAGAATCAAGAACAATATTATCCTTTGTCACATCTTTCGTATTTGGAATGGGTTCAGACTCAAATTCAGTGTTTGACTTGGGCTTAGCAGAAACAGGTTTCGGCTCAGAAGAATTAATCGATGTAAATGTTGAAGAAGGGGGCAAATCATGCAAAAAGAAGTCTTTATCCTTATCTTCCATGAATGAAATCTCCCCTGGAGATAATGATGAGTAAAAAATGATTTATTTTCTTCAAAAGTGACATCTGCAGACACAAAATTTTTTGTTAGGAGGATGATAGTACTTATATCCTTTTTGAGTTGAAAAATACCCCACAAAAATACACTTAATCGCTCTTGGATCCAACTTTCTCCTGTTATGACTGTGAACATGAACAAATGATGTACAACCAAATATTCTAGATATGAGATTGTTTGTGGTATTGAGGTTAGGATAAAATTGTGAAAGTAGTTCTATAGGAGTTTTAAATCCCAAAAATCCTTGAAGGTAACCTATTTATAATATGTGTGGCAGTGAGAACAGCTTCCCTCAGTAAAATTTAGGTACATTTGCTTGAAAAAGAAAAGCTCAGGTTGTGGGTAATAAATGACTGTTTTTTCTCTCTGTCACTCTATTCTACTGTGGAGTATTAACACAAGATGACTCATGGATAATCTTCTCTTTTTGAAAATAGGTAGATAGACTCTGGTTGAAGTAATCTCTTACATTATCAGACCTAAATCTCTTGATTCTCACTCCAAATTGATTTTGGATCATGTTTTGGAAGCTTAAAAATATACTATTCACATCTGATTTGAATTTAAGTAAAAAAACTCAAGAGACCTTGGTACAATCATCTATGAATAAAAAAAATCATCTCGCATCAGAAATATTAAGAATTGTAGAGGGACCCCAAATGTCACTATAAATCAAGAAAAAGGGAGTAGAACTTCTTTTATTACTGATTGAAAAAGACACACGTCTATGCTTTGCAAGTTCGCAAACATCATAATGAAAATCTTCGACATTTAATCCTTTGAACAAAGAAGGAAACATGTTTCTTACGGTTCCAAAAGAAGGATGTCCAAGACGAAAATGATAAAGCCAGATCTTGTTTTTATTGAAAGATTTTTCATAAAGAAATGACAAAGGTAAACTATTCTTGATACTACTTGTGTTATTTGATGTCTCAAGATAGTATAGTCCATCATTCTCCTTAGCAAGTCCAATCATCTTCCCCAAACTCTGGTCCTGAAATTCACAATAAGAGGGATAAAAAGTTATTTATTCATATCTCTGGTAAATTTTTGTATAGATATCAGATTAGTAGACAATCTAGGAACATGAAGAACATTTTTTAGAACAAACGAGAGATTAACTTGAACATCTCCTAATCCTGCCACTTGTGGTAAGTGAACCATCTGCAACAACAATTTTCTTATTACTAGGATACAGGTTATATATGTAATAAACTTTTGTGAGGAATGTGTCATGTGGTATGTGGCTCCTGAGTCAATGACCTAAGAACTTGTAATAGGCTTAGCTGAGACATTTAATCCATGAGAACCGGAAGCTTTACTTGAACTAGAAACCTTACCCAAAGAACATACCACAGTAGGCTTTTCAATGATTTTCAATAAGTTTCTCAGCTTTTCAATCTCTTCTTTGTCGAGCTCTCCTTGCTTCTGAGACATCTATAGTACTCTAGTGATTTTTTCAGTTAATATTTCCTCAAATTGGGTGGTAGTGATATCTTTCTTTGAAAAGGTTCGGCAATGAAGGCCTAAAAAAGTCAGCAATGAAGGTAGAAAATTTTGCTTCTCAAGAAGAGCCTAAAGCTCTGATACCATGTGAAAAAACTAATAAATAAATCAGTGTGAAAACCGAATGTATATTGAAAAACTGCTTATTAAGAATTATACAAGAATCTTAGGTTTATATACAACTAACTAGGGGTTAAACTAGGAAACTAAATCTTCCTAAAAAACTAATCTTATAATTGAGGGATTGTCTATCCTAATTTTAGGGATACAAATACTTAATTTTAGAGATACAAATATAAATATACAGATTACAAAATTATAACTAGCTGTAAATAAGTGTTTTTCCACATTAACATCCCTTTCACTTGGAGAAAACATGATGAAATCTGCTATATGTAAAGACTATTTGCTGAAAATGTTGTGCCATCTGTTGTAATTCATAATTTGTAGCATATTGAGGTCTGTTGATTTGTCAAACTTCAGCCATGAGTTTAACATTTTCCGACCTTAACCAGAAATAAATCCGGTTGAACATGTGCTTATGTTCGGTGGTGGAGCTAGGCATCCACTCAACCCCACCCCATTGTTTTACCTTCTATGCCTTAACATACAGACAGACACAGTGAACAATTTAGCATTGTTTTAAATTGCTTGTGTAACTTGGACAAAGTTACAAGAGAATTTTCCCATGCTATTGCTTGGAGTTTTTGTCTTCTTTCCTTTTTCTCATCTTTTCTTTTGTTAATTTATTTTAAGCCTACATGCTTTCTTGTACCTTTAATCGCCACCAGTGCAACGGAGGTGCTGCCAATATAAAATCATTCCTTTACCTTAGAGTCTATCACTTGAAGGAGCAAATTTTTGTCGTCCAAGTTCATGAGCATTCTGGATTTAAATTTTTTTTCCCTTTCTTTGCAAGTTGTTAGAAAGGCTTTCATGGGGCCAAGTCATGGTATTCCACTACCTATATCAGTGTAAATTAGACAGGAAGTACTTATTGTTTCAATTAAAGATTAGAAAAGGAGATAATAGTTTAAATGTGTAGGCTTTCTAGTAAATTTTTTATGGTATTATAGTTTACCTCAATGTGCAAAGTGAATTATTTCAATGGACAACAACATTAACAATAGGTGATTTTGTGCTTTTGATCTCATTTACATACGATTTCCTGTAGCATCTACTGAAGTTTTCACTCCATTTAGATGGGAACAAACTATAAAGTAGCACTAATTCTGCAAGAATAGGGGAGACAATCCATGGATGGGGTAAGGAGGCAAGGAGAAAGAGGAGGCATGGGCGTTTCATCGATGATTCAACCATACATACAGACACAAGCACGGTAAAGTCACTTGAGGAAGATGATCGCCAGTTGATTGATATTCATGAAGCTGGCGATGGTAGATACACTGAGATAGAGTTGCATCCGCCACTTAATGTTATCAAATCCAGTCCTTCACCAGCTACTAATGAAACTTCGAGTAGGGTTGGTACACCTCTACTTAGACTGTCTGCTACTATCTCTGCATCGACTATCTCTAGTTTTCAAAAGGAAGATTTCCAAAGATCATCTTCTATTCCTTTCAGGAGAGAATGACACAATTCTATAGCAATCGTCTAGCAGTAATTGTAGGTATAGGGAAAAAAAAAAGAAAAACAGTGAATATTATTATTGGTTTAGGCTTTGCATGTTTATGGGAAAGTGTGAGGAAATCATATGCAAAGTGCTTATAGTATATTCCTTCAAGCACGCGAATTTCTTCGCATTCCCACTGTCCAAGATTCATAGTTTCACACTGTAGCATGAATTTATAAAACAAAGAAACCAATACATGGAGTATACTGTAATTGATTCTCCCAATTTCTAGATTGTTAATTACACACACAAACACACATATATGTGCATGAGCTTGCTCTGCATTTTCTTACGTTCCAAACACATGAAATGTTATACACTGAAAGTGAGATACCCTACATAGGCCAAAATAAGATGGAAATTTAAGATATTGTAAAAAAGTTCCAAAGACCATTTAAGTTTTTATTATTCTTATTCTTTTGAGCCAACAGGGTTTGATTGTAGACCTCTCAAACATCATTAGGTCTCATTAGATAATACATATAACACTTTTACTCATTCATGGCTGACTATGGTCCTCATCTGGTGGATAGGGCTCACTAACTTTGTTGATAGCCTCTTGCATCACATTGGCAGTTTTAGATGCGGATCCTTCTGGTGTTTGTTGTCCATGGTGAGACCATGGTTGACAGTGCCCTTCATAATGGCCTGGATTGCAGTCAGTTATAGGGCCCCAAGGATGATCACCCTCAACACAATTGCCAGTTACACACCCTGGCACTACTGGGATTATTGGGATTTTTGGGATTGCTGGTATTTGTGGGATTGCCGGAATTTCTGGAATTTGTGGGATTGCTGGGATTTCTGGAATTTGTGGGATTGCTGGGATTTCTGGAATTCGTGGGATTGCTGGGATTTCTGGAATTGGTATGGTGAAACCAAGAACGCATGGAGGAACACATCCATGAACATTTCCTAAACCATGTTCTTCACCTTTCCCATACTCATACCCATGACCATTACCACCTATTCCTGATCCAATTCCCGATCCTTCACCAGACCCATAACCACTTCCCCCACTTCCAACACCTTTGCCAATACTAGATCCATGCCCACTCCCACCTCCTGACCCACTTCCACTGCCATAACCAACACCAACTCCTTCCCCGTTAGGCTTCTTCACTGCTTCATGGTGAGGAGGCTGAGGCTCCATATTTGTGTGATCATCATTGACCTGATTCAATAAGAACCTATGAGCCAAACTGAAGCCTAGGGATAAAAAAACTGACAGAATTATACATGCAGATTTTAGTGTTGGGGCCATTTGCCTACTTTTGGTCCTTTCTATACTCCACCAAATGAAGGCTGTCATTACTTTTATAGAGAAAAATTGCAAATGAAGAAAGAACTAGAAATTGCATTGTTGAAAATGTTAATTGGTTTGTTCTTCTCATCCGGAATCATGGACCTTGCATGAGTAGAAATTTACGTGCCTTTAATGCAACACCAATCTCTCACTATTCATCAACCAAAACAGAAGGGAATAACAAGAAAATAAAAGAAAAGAAATCAACCCTTTCATATAGCTTAAGCCTCCTTATCAGCTCCTGAATTTAATCCATCATGAGGGAGGTTAAGCTGGACATCATTTGTTCTTTCAGTTCTGGATCATGAAATACGATAAGCATGGCCTTAAATAACGCTTTGATATTTTCATTGATAGTTTGGTTTTAGGGTGGTTTGAAAATGAAACTTCCTATTGAGTTCTGGCTACTTAGTAGTACTAATTCATCCTGGAGACAGTGATTATGGGAGATTTAAGATAAATATACTGTAATTCAGAGTTTTTCAAATTTTTTCTCTATTGCTGCTGCTTTATTCTAGAAGTGATAACTGGTAACTCGAATTCAATTTATTCTGAACTTATAAAATTCAATCCAAATCCGAGATTTTTATCATCTATGAATCCCAGATTTTACCCGAGGAAGTACTAATTAGTTTGTCCTTTCTGTTGCCTCCGATGACGAGTCAAGCTTTGGCCTTCATATAACCATAATTTCATCACCTTCACTAGAATTTTCTGACGGATGAGCAGTAAACGCTGGATTGTTGGTGGAAAGTTAGACAACAGGCTTTACACTGCCCCATTCTTAGACTCACTTTTTCTTTGATTTTGTTTAAACAACCAAGAACCAGAGTGACAGGTCATTTTAACCATTTTTGTGAAATCAGCATCGGTGCCAGTTGAACCTGTTGTCCAGTACCGTCTAAAAGTATTCTTAGTCTTCATCTCAAACGACCAACCGGTAAACACATTCAACTCGACTTGTCGTTTTGCTTCTAGGAGGAAAACAACTTTCATGCTTGGGGGACAGCCAGACAGTTATGGCATTTGCTAATGGTTTATGAAATTTGAATATATATTGATTCTTATTTCCATTGGCTCATCGCAAAGAGCTCGTAATCTTCAAGAGGTTCTCATGAATATATGCAATACCAAGACGAACAAGATCGATTGCACAAGAAACGGGACAGGTGATCATTTCTCTTTCATATTCCAAGTAGAACATTCATTATTGGTCTAAGATTTTCATCCATTGAAACTCAATAATAAACAATTTATTACCACAGGAGACAAAATCCCACCAATCTGAACATCACACAGGACCCCATCGAAAATGTTGGGGAAGCTGTTTAGCAAGTTGTTACAGGTAAGTTTGTAAACATATTAGCATGTCAACATTCAAGCTTGCTCGCTATTGCCTTCTGAATCCATGGCCTTTAAACTTTCAGCCATCATTTGGTCTCTGTTCCGCTTTTGTCTTTCTACAGCCACCATATACAGGCCTACACAAGAATAAATATTAACTATCACCATGAGCCAGGAAAGAAAATAAAATGTATGATTCAAGAGTCAAAAGAATTCAAATAATCGGTGCAATCATATAAATTATGCCAAGCAACAAGCGCCAAATCACAGGTCATGGTAGCGTACTGATTGCACTTCCAATTGCACAAAGCCAGAGAATCCTCATAGACCACTTATCTCCAATAACTCCTCCGGTTCCCATACCTGGCAAAACCTATTAAACTAATTAGTATAACATCAACCTAGACACCAAATATTATTGCTGACCAAGTCTAATGCATAGTGAAGATTCAAATAGACTACTTGGTTATAACTTTATGGTTAAACTAAACTCTTCATGTTGTATCTCTTTCTACCAAATTCATCTGCTATCATAATTTTTGCAATCAAAGAACATCAATAACTCCGTTATAAGCTACCACTTGAGTTGCTAATGCATTTGACATAACACCTTTTTACCTTGCATGACCAGGGATACCGGTAGCATTGCTAATGCATTTGAGATGAGGCCTTTTTAATTGCATAATAAGATCACACCAGTGATCACGCTTGTTAGCTTTGAAATTGCAAAATAAGATGGTCAGAGCTCCAATTTAATATTTCTTTTGATAGATGGAGCTTTTATATATATAAAATTCATGATACAATGTGTACTCATTTGTACGCTCAAAGTGGAAGAGGTCATATGAACTTCAAATTTACACTAATTTCTTTGAATCAAAGATACTACCAACAATGTGGTTGAATTGCATAGAGTAATTTTCACAATTCCTGTAAAACATAAGAAGAACTGACAATTCATACAAAGAAAAAAGGGCAAAATAAATGGTGCAATTGTGGGGTCGAAATTCCATAAAATGTCTTTCAAAGCCAGGAAAGAACATTTTAAAAGCTCAAAATAAGTTTTGTAATTAAAGTAAATTGCAAAAAGCCTTAGTTTGAGATGAGATTTGACAAAGACCCAATCTGCTAACCATTAATTCTTCGCACTCAACAAAGATAGCATTGAACAAATGTACCGTGGATCATTCCTTCACATGTTACAGGGAGCAGAAAATAACTCAAATCTGAAAGATAATATTTTCTTTGAAAAGCAAGATACATGGACTTCAACTTGTAAATCGAGTCCAACAGGTAACAGCACATATATAAAGCAACCGAGTTCTTTTTTGTAAACCTTAATAAAACAAAGAACAAGGCATCTACAGCATTCACACCTAACTGGAAACTTATGAAAATGAAAGAAAACAGGTTCTTAGAACACCATGTTCTTCTGTATACGAAACAAAAAACCGGAAAACAGAATTTCCTTCCGATTTAAGCACCTATGCTTTCCCGCTCCTAAATGTCATAATCTAAAAATATTTACAGCTTTTTTCTTTCATAAAATTCTACTCCGACGAACTGACTGTATTTCAAGCACACTCTTTTCATCCCCTTTCTGGGAAATGAAGGTGCAAAGACATGAACTTTACAACTTTCAACACATCAAAAATCAATTTTTTTTAAGAAGCAATTTCATATTAGAAAATTAACCAAAACCCAAATTCCAAAAACAGTTAAACCAAACAACAATTAAGTTACCAAAAACGAAACCCAGAAAAAAAATCATCAATTAGGGTAAATAAAGAGGAAAAAAAAAAAGGAATTACCTTTGAAGAAGCTAAGCTGAAAAATCCAAACTTTTTTTTTTTTAATAGTGTGGAATTTTTGCTCTTGGGTATTTTTAGGGCTTTACAGCGGCAAGTGTATGGAGAGTGAAATGGCTGAAAGAGGGTTTAAAGAAAGTGTTTCTCACGCTCTTAAGCATCGCGTGGGAACTCTATCTCTCACCTACCCGCAAGTTTGCAATTTCCTCCGAATTTTTTATTTATCTAATGACGTCAGCATTCAAACTTCTATAAATACCCTTAAATTTCACTCTTTTTCTGAATAATTTTTACTTCTTTAAGAAGCTAAGCTTAACCTCGGAAAAGAAAAAAAAAAAAAAAAGCTGAAAAAGGGAATTTTCTTTCTTTCAAGTAAGCCAATGCTTCTTTCAATTCTTTTTCTTTTCTCATGCATTCACTTAGTCTTTATTATTAATCTTTTAATCCTTCATTGAGTAACTTAAAAACTTGATAAAAATGACTGCTTTTCATCAATGATCAACCTAGTTTCCTCTCCGTTTCCTAGCATTATTAGTTTGATAATCTGTTTGGTTGCTGAGAAACTGATGAACATTGAAAAGCAGAAGAAATGTGAAAGTTTTGATTTTTGTGTTTTCTTACATTTTCAATGCCAGGGTTTTTTTTCTTTCTGAAAGTTGTTCTTTTGGTCATTTATTCTGAAAGTGGTTCTTTGGTATGATAGTTAGATTTGTGTATTTTTTTCATCTGTTTGGTTACTGAGAAAGCGGAAAGAAATGATACAGAAAAAGAAAAGTAATTTCATTTATTTTCTTTTTTTTTTTGGGGCTTTTTCTAAACAGAGCTCTAAAAGAATTTTAAAGAACTCCATTTGATATTTGCTATAATTGTTTGTGATTAAGAAGTTTTATTATGATATAAAGCACATTTCTTTTGTAAAGTTACATATCGATTTTACATGTCTAAGACTTGCTGTTTAGTTGAGAAAATGGAGGTAAGGATCAATATTGTGGAACAAATTGTAATGAAACTTGCATATATGGCAAAGTTAAGCACTGTGATAGGCGATTGTTGTAAAAAATGGTTTGGCATTGCTATTAGCAGTCAAATTAATGCCAACAAATGTAATTCCAATCGCAATGCCAAACAGAAATAATATTCTTAGAATGAATTTTGATTATTTTCCCAGTAGGTTGATCTTTGAAATGAATGTCATTTGAATCTCTCTAGGCTAAGGCTGTAAATAAATTAATAATCAAAGAAAAATTGTATATTTTTTTGTTTATTCTTTATACTATAGTTACCTAATTAGCTAGATTCCCTTTCCGGCTGTGTCCTGGATCGCACTCCGTATGTGATCCAAAATGTGGAAAGAGATGAGCTGCCGTTTCAACATCCTAAGTCCCAATTATCTGTTATGCCGCGTGTTTTTTATGATTCCAATACAATAAAACAAGCCAGGCAGTAACAGAAAATGGTGTGGATTTCAAAACTTGTGAAAGGATTACAAATCTGGAAAGTATATCATCACTTTTATTAAGTTTAGCTGGTCAGCTAAAATTAACCATTTTCTTCTTTTTTTTTTTTTGTATTTCTTTCTCAACCTTTTAATTTTCTTCAAAATAACTTGTTTTGTTTATATATTGTGATATGTATGTCTATGTAATCATCCGAGCACACAGCTATTCTGCAAACCCAAAAGCACTATAATTCTGGTAACCTTGATTTATACTCCATTGTAATTGTCTTCCTCTAATATCATAATTTTTATGGTTTTTCCTTTTCCCCTCTTTTGTGAAGGATATATGAGAATGAAAGGAATTGCATGTGTTGCAAATCTTGATGAAGAAGCTCTCAGAAAGCTGCTTGATGTCTTTGGTACTCAGTATTCTCTTGAGGACATAGCTTCTGCTTATTACGAGGCAAAAGGAAGTGTCAATATTGCTGGTGACATTCTTTGTGCAAGACATGATGGAAGGATCTTGATTGCTAGGGCTGATGCATTTGAAAATAAGTCAGTGGGTACTAGTACAACATCTGTGGAATTGTCGTCTGGATGGGAAAGCGAAAATGCAGCATCTTTAGAATATACATCCGCCAATCCCAACGCTGGAGCATTCAAGTCAAAAAAAGGTTCTGCATCAATGGGAAGTGTTACAGGTGTGATAGGAAGAAACTATGTCAAACCAAGGCCATCAAGAAACGACTCTTCTGAGACTATGAAACCTGTGAAAATAGATTCGAAGGAATTGCCAGTCTCTATAGTATGGAGGGAAGAAGATCCATCAAATAGGACAACAAGGAATGGCTCCACAAATGGTGATCTTGAGGAATTTCTGTATGAGATGCTTGGAGATGGATTTCAACTTGACAAGTCTGTAATTCAAGAAGTATTTGGTAAATCTGCTAGCTTCCTTTAGCCTTTGAGTTGTTTACTGCTTTTGTCATGCAAGCTGCAATCTTATCTGAAAGTTTAGTGCAAAATTGCTTGTGTGTGCGTTTATTATCTTTCAATGGAGGTATAAGTTTAAGTGTGACATGATAAGTATTCAACATAATGTGATCAATTGAATTATATGAAGTGGAGTGAATATAGACAGAGGAGAGTATCTCATGTTATATTGAGTTCTGTAGTCCCAAGTATTTTTATTTCGTCATCATATATGTTATCATTGACATGAAATTTCATGATGCTAATTTTTGGTTATTTGGCATGAGTTATTTTGTTCATTTATATATTTTAGATCTTGCAGTATATCAGTAATTTGTTCCATTTATTACATGTTATATTGTGTGAGTTTATCCCTCGTCTTTTCTACCTCTGTTGCTTGCTTTGGCCTTTGCTAGGATGCTATCTCTTGATGCCCTGATCTTCTCTTTTTGAGTTTTCCGCCTTCGAATTGGTAGTTTTAAGCTTCAAAAATAATGCAGTCAGCTTAAGATAAAAATTTCTCTTCATTTGTATTCATGATATTGTAACTATAAAGTTATGTTTTCTTTATTGCTGTTACTTATTTGAGTTCATAATGTGCTTAATCCTGCCATTCATTCGATTTGCAGATTGTTGTGGGTTTGATGTGGACAAGGTGAAGTACTTATACCCTTTGAGCTTGAAGACCTTTCATGAATTTTAGTTCATGTCCTCTTGTTTTAAATAACGTATGTTTTTATAACTCACAAACATTCAAAGAATAATTGGGCCATAGTTCTGCATGTATTGTTTCTAAGAGACTAGATTTTAATGATGTCTTAAACTCCCGGTTTTGCTTGTGCTCCTTTGAAGAAAGTGAAAAACATTCAGTGTGTGTTGCCATTTCAACCTAAACGTTGCTATCATCCTTAAGTCATTTTATCTTCTTTATTTTATCCTTTATCTGTGTATATTTGATTACTAGTTAATTTAGCATCCCAAGCCAGGTCAATGATACCGATTTGTTTTATTGATCGCATAGAGCATGGACAAACTGCTTGACTTGTCAGCTTCAACTCTAGAGAAGTCTGATGATGTTATTGGTATAGCTGCTGAAAAGGTGAGCCCAAGTTCACACATTTCTGTACCCAGTTTTTCAACAATATCTTGTAGAAATTACTATCAAATCATGAAATTCTGATGATTCTACTGGTTCCTTTTATGGTCTATTTGCGCAACTGTTCATATTTCACATTACGTGTGTGTTTTATATCACATTAGGTCCTGCACTTTACAGGAATATTAACTGTCAGCAAGCTTCATGCTTCTTTACTCATCTTCTCATCACAATTCTTTCAACAGTTCACTGGGATATGTCCAGATGACCAATTCTTTTTAATCCAAGACAAACCGCAATCCAAAGATTTTGCTCAAAGGTGTGTTTTCCAATTTCATTTTGTTGTACTGACTTTTTGCTGCACATCTTAATTTTCTAAAACAAAGGTGTTCTTTAGGAAAGGCTACCCTAAATTCTTTCTTATGGGCCACACTATTCTTCTTTGCATCCCTTGCAGCAAAGAAGCTACATCTATGATAAGAAATCCTAAAAGATCTTCAAGAAGAAACAAAGATAGAGTCACTATGGAGAAAGAAGTCTTAGAAGCATTGTTCACTGTTCCTGAAAGATCTGAAGAAGTACCAAAAAGAAATGGTGCAGTTAGAGTGGTGGGGAGATCAAGGGCATTTGGTAAATTGGTGACCGAACCTCTCAAGGACACAGATACCGGTCCTACAACTATTGTAAAGCTGCTGAACGTTTCCAAAGATGGTAAAGGATTTTGTCTATGCTTTTTGTAGTGAGATAGAGTATTTCATTGCTAATGTTCTCATGAACAACGAATAAAGTAAAGAGGATATGGCTTTAAGAGAAGGAGGTTATAAATCAACTCATTTTGTGGCCTCCCTATGACTTGGAATTGATTGGTAGTTAATTAGCATTGCTGCACTTCTGTCAGCCACCATTCATTTGTTATTTGATTACATACTCACTTACTGAATAATAAACGAAACTTTGCATACGAAATTTTTGCAATAAACATGAGTGATCTGCCCACAAAGTGTTCTCAGTTTTCCTCTAAACAAAAACACCAGGTTGGACTATGTGTTGTGGTACTCTTGGCTGCATGATAGACATACATACACCTGAGGACTAATCCATTGTAGCTTAATAGCCTAGAGCTACCTTTGTACTTCAAGGTGATATATGATATCATATCAATCCAATATTTGTGAGGATGTTAAAAACCGTTCAATCTTGCAGCCTAATTTTTATTTTTTATATTGTATGATTTTGTATGTCATTTCTGTGACAACTTTTTCAAATATCTTAGCCTTCTTGTGCTTGGTTTCTGGTGCAGTGGAAGATGGACTTGATGACGATGAGAATAGCTATGATGTCTTACGGCAAGCTGTGAAGGAGCATTGGATCACAATGAAAGAATACTTTAAAGCTGTAAGCTGTTTAATCTGCAAAAATTTTGGAAGATGTACTTGTTCCAACGTTTCATAGAACCAATTTAGAAAAGCAAGTCTAAAGTTGGTAAATGATGGTCATTATGCTTCTTTAATTTTAAAGAGATATACTGGGGCCATCTAATAAGTTTTGCAAGTCTTTTGCTTTGGCCACAGCCCAAGATCTTGCTTTTCCTGGCATTCATCTTGTTCTGCGCCCCCCCCCCCCCTCTTTTTTTTTGGCAGCATTACTTCTGTTGGATGATTTTTTTAAATTGGAATGGATGAATAGTACTAACAGTCTTGATTAACTTCCAGGCTCTTGAAGCATTTGCTAAGGGTGATAAGGCACGTGCAGCCAAACTTGTGGAGCTAGTATGATTCAGATCTTTGCCTGTTTTAAAAGTTTTTTCCGATATCAGTGTTCAACACTTGATCAACTGAAAATAAGACGGCGATATAATAATATATATACCAGCCCTAGAAGAATTTCTTTCCTCCACATGAATTAAGATGTTTAATGCATCACGGCATGTGTTTAGAGTCAAATTTTCTTTTCCATGGTTAATAAAATTTTTTTATTAATCTGGGAATGCATTTGTGAAATACTGACTCGAATTAGATTATTGAGGCAAGTCTGCTGAGTATTTGTTGTACAATTTTAAAGCAGTGATATTCTTGTAGAAGAAGTAATTGTTGATATTTTTTTCGGGTGAATGTCTAGGGTCATTTTTTTAACAAGAAGGCCCGAGAAGCAGATGAAAGATCTGCTGAAAAGATGCTTGAAACCAGGTTGGTGCATGTTGAAATTCTTTATTCTGTTGCACAATGCTGTCTGTTGTTTCAGAAAATGGTGTCACAAGTTTGAATTTTGTTGCAGAGATGACGAAATTATATCGCTTGACTTGCGTAACTTTGAACCCAAGGAAGCTCTTAGTCTTCTCAGAGTCCATTTAACCTCTGTTTCTGGCATCCCTTGTAGGTTATTGTTCTCTTCTATTTTTTAGTCGTATATGTAGAAATCTAATTCTCCTACATTAGTGCAAATCCAATTCTCCTACATTAGTGTAGCTTGATATGATTCTCCTACATTAGTGTAGATTTGATTCTCCTACATTACTGCAGCTTGATTTCTTAATTTATTTTGGGAATATTTCTCATTTACTCTTTTGATTTAATCAACTATTTTGATTGTTAAGTTTTTAGGGATTTGTTTTCATTTTAGAATAAAATAATTCTTTTTACTTTTTTTTTTTTTATTTCATGTAAGTTGTTTCCTAATAAGGAACTTCAATGTTTCTATTTATTGTGATGTACTCCTTCATTCTAGATAGAATAAAAAGAAACAAAGACAATTGTTCTTTATGTTTTCTACCTGGTATCAAAGCAAGTCGACCTGAACCTTTAGACTGTAGCCACACGAGTTTTCATTATGGCTAGTAGGAGTGTGAACTCTTCTTCTGCAGAGTATGGCATAAGGAAAGTTACAAAGAGGAAATGCTCCAACAAACCCTTCAAAACAAGTCTTCAACCTTTGGAACTAATTTGCTGGCACAAAAAGGTCATTTTCTAAAGGCCATAATTGTTCAACGAGGAAATACACAATCTTGGATTGTTGATTCAGGAGCATCAGATCACATAACTGGAGATGCATCCTTTTTCAACATATATAGACCTTGCTATGATAGTTTGGCTGTAAAAATTGCTAATGGTTCTCTCTTAAAGGTGGTAGGAACAGGTTCTATTATAGTTTCAAAAGACATAACACTCGACTTTGTCCTCCATGTCCCTAATTTAAACTGTAATCTACTTTCCATCAATAAGCTTATGAATGATAGATGTTGTGTTACTAAATTTTTTTTCAACTTGTGTGAATTTCAGGAATTGGGCTCGGGGAAAATTATTGGGAATACTAAGATATGTGCAGGGCTCTATCTTTTTCAAGATGATGCACTTGAGAGACTACAAAACTCTTATACAGCCTTAGCCTCTAGTTCTAGTAAGGATGATCTTATCATGTTATAGCATTATGGATTAAGACATCCAAATATTTCATACCTAAAAAGGTTATTTCCCTTATTATTCAATCACATCTTTAAAGATTTTCAGTGTAAAATTTGTTAACTTTCTAACTTTCTAAGCACATTCGAAATACCTTAGTTTTTCCTATAAATCATCTTAGCCTTTCTAATGATTCACGGTGACATTTGGGGACCGTCAAGAGTTAACAATATCACAAGTTCTAGGTGGTTTGTAACTTTCATCGATGATCATACTCGATTCACTTGGGTATTTCTTATGAAATAAAAATCCAAAGTTAGGCAAATCTTTCAAAACTTCAATAGCATGGTACAAACCCAATTTCAAGCCAAAATCCAACTCTATTCTCGGCCCTTACCTTACCAATCATGGCATTACCCATCAAAGCTCTTACGTTGATACTCCATAGCAAAATGGGATTGTCGAATGCAAAAATAGACATTTGATAGAAGTGAGCAAATCTTTTTTGTTGACTTCCAATGTGTCTAAATAGTTTTGGGGAGAAGTTGTCTTCATTGCAACTTATTTGGTTAACCAAATGCCTTATCATGTTCTTAGCTTTTAAAACACCTTGTCAAACTCTTCTTACTTCCTACCCACAAACTCGGTTGATCTCTTCTATTCTCATCAAACTTTTTGGTTGCATTGCCTTTGTTCATATTAGCCAACAAAATCGTAGCAAACTTGATCCCAAACCTTAAAATGCATCTTCCTTGGTTATTCCCTAAACCAAAAAGGCTATAGGTGTTACTCATTCATCACAAAAAAATTCTATAGCTCTATGGATGTCACCTTCTTTAAGAATCTTCTATACTATAGCAAGAATGATATTTGGGGGGAAAATACTGCTCAGGAATATTAATTCTTAGATGTTGACTTGCCAATTTCCCAATCAGCCCTTTCAAAACTAGATTCTCAACTTACCTAATCTATTAGCCATGCAAATTTCGAAACCCAACCTATTCAGACAACTCTTAACTCTTCAAACTTAAGATTATACAAGAAAAAGCAAAAGAACTGATAATCTACTCAAGGAAGCAAAAACCACAGAAAGAAGTGACCTTAGCACTAAAAATCAACTTGATCTAAGTTTTCAAGAATTTGAAACTAACACAGGTAATGTCCTTATTGAATTTGAAATTGAAACTTGTGAGCCAGTTGGTGACCTTGACATTCCTATTACATTAAAAAAATGTTTGAGATCTTGCACTTGGTATCTTATTTGCAAGTACATCGAGTATGACAAGTTATATCCAAACTTTTGAGCCTTTACTACTAACCTTGACAATGTGCAAATTCCAAAATATATTCAAAAAGCCCGTAATGAACCAGATTGGAAGGCAACAGTTCTTGAAGAAATCAAGGCATTAGAGAAGAATGGGATATAGGAAATTTCATATTTTTCCAAAGAAAAAAATCCGGTTAGATGTAAGTAGATCTTGACAATAAAGCACAATGTAGATGGAAGTATAAACAGGTTCAAAGCTAGACTTGTTGCAAAGAGGTTCACTCAATCCAATGGGATAGACTATGAGGAGACATTTGCTCTGGTAGCTAAACTCAATTCAATTAGAGTTCTATTGTCATTAGTAGCTAACTTGGATTGACCTCTCCGCCGTCTTGATATCAAGAATGCATTCCTAAATGGTGAATTGGAAGAGGTTGTCTACATGGAAATTTCCCCTGCTTTCAAAAAAACAGCATGGGCAAAGGGTGCAAACTCCGAAAATCTTTGCATTGACTTAAACAGTTCTTCAGGCTTGGTGTAAACAGTTGGCTTAGGCAATGTAAATGTATGGATTCCTTCAATGTCAATCTGATCGTACTATGTTTGTCAAGTTCACTAATGAAGAAAAAAGGGTTATTCTTATTGTTTATGCGGATGATATCATAATCACTGAAGACCATAAGGAAGGAATAGATGATTTGAAGAAAGTCTTTGCAAAGGAGTTTGAAATAAAGGACTTCGGATTCCTTAAATATTTTTTTGGGGTGGAAGTGGATCGGTCTAAGAATGAAATATCAATGTCTCAGCGTGTGTACTTGATCTACTCAAAGAAACCAGCATGATTGGATGCAAACTTGCCGAAATACCTATGGATTCAACTAATAAAATTGGAAATGAAAATGGAAGCTCTTTCACGGATAAAGGGCAATGCTAGGGGTGTAATCGAGCAGAGTCGAGATGACACAGTGAAAATCTTGAGCTCGACTCCCACCTCGCGACATGATACTTGGCTCGAATTTGATCGAGTTTCATTTTCCTAGCTTAAGTTCGATTCATGATCGAAATCGAACTACTCGAGCTCGCTTGAATAGGCTCATTTATCAATAAAAAATAAGTTCGATTTCATACTCGATTTTAAGTTCAATTATTGGTACTCGAATTCAAGCTCGAATTAAGATTTTTCAATACAAATATTTTGTATCAATTAAATCTGATATATTTCAAAATAATATCATAAAAATAAATAAATAACCTAATACAACAACCAATCCAACTTGAAATAAAATGATAAAGTTTAAAGCAACCGAAAGCATAACCCATAAAGCAATCAACTTTCATTCAGATTATATCCAAATAAACCATTATCCAAGTTAAAATAAGAACTACAAGCCTTATTTCCAAAAAAAAGAAAAACATGAGAAAAATGAAAACTAAAGATCTTGGCTGAACTTAAAATGAAAAAAAAACAAAACTTTCCAGAAAATAAAAATAAAAATTTGAAATAAAACCCTCTTTTTGATAAGAACAAACAAAAAAAAATTTATCACATTTCACAAATGCAACGTGTAGGTAGCTTCAAAATCAATTCATGCCTCATATATTGGAATAGTTACAACAAACAAATAGCAAACAATGAAATCCTTCCTCAGCAAGCATGCTTATGTCAACCATGAATTTTTATGAAATGATTACTCAAGGTATTTTTTGCTAAATATGTCTTAAATAATCGCCTTTATTTTTGTATTAGGGATTCTTCAAGGCATTTTTTTTTTCAGAAAATGCCTTGAATAATCTTTTACAAAAACGGGAATGAGGTTATTCAAGGCATTTTTGGTTAAAAACGCCTTTAATAATCCCTTAGTAAAAAAATTTAACCAGATTATTCAAGGTGTTTTCTAACAAAAAATGCCTTGAATAATCCATAAAAGAAAAATTTGTGAGGGGATTATTTAAGGCGTTTTTGGATAGAAACGTCTTGAATAATCCCATTCAATTTTTTTAAGGGACTATTTATGGCATTTTTTGCTGAAAAAGCCTTGAATATTCTCATTCAAATTTTTTAAGTGAATATTCAAGGCATTTTTTGCCAAAAACACATTGAATAATCCACTCATAAAAATTGATAGGGATTATTCAAGGCATCTTTGGCAAGAAACACCTTCAATAATCCCATTCAATTTTTTTAAGGGATTATTTAAGGTGTTTTTTATTAAAAAACATCTAGAATAATCCATAAAAAAATGTAAGGGGATTATTTAAGGTGTTTTTGAGCAAAAATGGATTACGCCTTAAATAATCCACTCATAAAAATTAATGAGAATTATTCAAGGTGTTTTTGATAAAAAACACTTTCAATAATCCCCTCATAAAAAAATTTTGTAAGGATTATTCAAAGCAATTTTTAGCTTAAAACATCATGAATAATCCCCTTCAATTAAAAATTGAATTATTTAAGTTTTCATCATATATGCCAAGGAGAATATAGTAATTATTCAAGATTTAATATATGTGGATTCTCTCCAACCAAATGAGTGAATTTGAATATGGGATGCCCTGAAAATGAAAGAAAACCCCAAGTATCACATTTTCTTAGGGATCACACTTTCTCCCAAAATCTATAATTTCACGAACCAAACACCCTTTAAGGGTTTTAAGTATTTATATATATTTAGGGGTAAAAAAGTGAATTAGTAATAAAATATTAAATATATATATTAAAAATAAAAAACTCGATTAGGCTTACGAGCCGCTTAAGTCGGATATTAAAATACTCAAATTCGGCTCGTTTGATAACTTGAGCTCGAGCTTAGCTCGACAATAATCGAATTGAATTCGAATTTGTTTCGAATCGAGCCCGAATAGCTTGTGAGTATATGTCTCATTTACACACCTAGGCGATACCAAAGACTTGTTGGGAAGTTTATTTACCATTTCCACATACAACTTGATATCAGGTTTATGGTAGGGATGGTGAGTAGATACATGAATAATCCAACAAAGGACCATCTCAAGGCTGTTTATTGCATCTTACAGTGCTTAAATAAGAGTACAAGTGAAGGTCTATGTTTTAAGAAGTCAATGGATGAGGCAATCGAGGTGTACACAGATGCTAACTAGGCTGGATCAGTAACAGATAAAAGATTCACTATTGGATATTGCACTTATGTTTGGGGCAATTTGGTCACTTGGAAAAGCAAAAAGCAAGCTGTTGTAGCTATGAGCAGTACTGAGGCTGAGTTTAGAGCAATGTCCCATGGTATTTGTGAAGGAATTTGGCTAATGAGGTTACTTGGAGAATTAAAAGTTCAAACTGTGACATCTATGACACTATTTTGTGACAATAAGGCTACTATAACTATTACCAAAAATCCTATTTATCATGATAGGACCAAGCACATGGAGCTGGACCGACATTTCATAAAGGAAAAGATAGAAAATAAGTCGGTCAAACTGACCTATATCCCTACTAGTTCACAAATTGCAGATATTCTGACTAAAACTCTTCTTAGAAGCATTTTTGACAGATTGAAATCCAAGCTGAGTATGATTAACATTCATAACCCAACTTGAGGGGGAGTGCAGAAATCTGATTCTTCTACACTAATGCAGATCCAATTCTCCCACATTAGTGTAGCTTGATCTGATTCTTGTACATTAGTGCAGATTTGATTCTCTTATTGTAGCTTGATTTCTTAATTTATTGTGGGAATGTTTCTCATTTACTCTTATAATTTAGTAAACTATTCTGATTTTTTAGGAATTTGTTTTTATTTTAGAATAGAATAATTCTCTTTTTATTATTTTTTGTTTTCTGTTTCATGTAAGTTATTTTCTAATAAGGAACTTCACTGTTTGTATTTATTTTGATGTACTACTTCACTCTAGATAGAATAAGAAGAAACTGCCATGACTTCATATTTACTCATCTTACCAGCTATTAAGGGCCTGAGGATTATAGTGGGAACCATTGAAGAAGATACTAAAAAAGGGGCTCGAAGACAACTGGTATGAGCTTTTCTTTTAAAAAGGTTTCATTTTTTAAGATATTTAGATAGAAAGCACCTTTGTTAAATTCAGCCGAGATAGAACCCATCAACTGTAAATGAGCTTGAATGCAATGAAAAGACATCCTAATCTTTATATCAGTTTCTCAAGACTCAGTCCTGATATTGCAATAACTGGTATGATTGTATTGGTGAGTATATCAACTAAACTCTTAACATTGTTTAGCAATTCATATCTTATACACTTGCAAGTTAACTTTTGTTTAATCTTCTGATCGATATTGCAAATGAGCTCGTTGTAATGCTCTATTTTATGTATATTTATGTTATGAGTTAAGAAATTAGCGCTTTAAAATTTTCTTTTGCAGATTATGAAACAACTGGAGAAGGAATCGATTAAATGGAATGAGGAAGAGAATGGTCGGATAATATCAATTCGAGTTGATGTAATCAACCCAAAGCTCCTGAGTTTTGCAAAGAAGAAGAATGAGACAAACATGGGATCCTCCTAAATCATTTCGAGGCTTTTGGCAACACAGGGCGTGACTATAGCGATAACGTCATAGAGGAAGATTGAACACTTGAACAACTTAGCCAAAACCTGGCAATGGTTTTTTTTTTTTTTTGTTTAATTCAAATTCTGAATAAAGTGTTCATGTTGAATTTTGTCCTTTTTTCCCTTGGTTTTCTTACGAGCATGGTGGTATATCCTGGGGTTCATGCGTCTTCCATAGCTGCAATATCAAAACATTGTTTGAATGCATTTGACATCGATACAACAGCAAATGTTTTTTCAGTTAATAAAATTTTTGCGTGATAGTTTTGAAGTGGTTGTTAGAAATAATACCTTATTGCCTCTTTCGTAATGTATATGGAATTGAGGATAAGAGCCTTGTCCCCATTTATACAGTAGCAAAAGAGGAGTCACAATCCAGCATCATCGGTTGGGAAATAGTGGCCAAATTTCCTTTGAGAGGTGTTATCTTACTTTATTTTTCTCCCTGGTAAAACATTCAAATCGAAACTGTGCAAGCACATGGCAAATCTTCAAAGTCTAGCCAACGTTCGGTTTGACATTCTCTTCTGCTGGCTGGGCACCCTTTGATTTTGGGCGATATTTTTTCTAGAATAAAGTGAGCCTATACATCAAAGTAAAAGCTGAAGGAAAGGTGTCCCTCTTTGGCTCTTTCAATAATGCTGCCATAAAAGTTTGACTGGATAAGCACCGCACATGGCCAGTGGTCACCACGTCATAGAGTGAATTTGAAGAGAATTTTCCCTTCCCCTTCCCAAAAGGAAATTTAGAACAGACTAGATTCATCAATGGTGCAGTTGAGCCTTTGTGGCTTGCTTTTAGATATGATAATTTGTGTTTTGTTTGATTATTTTGTCATATATGTATAAAATACAAAATTATAACATTATAATTCGCGTCGATACATAAAATATCAATAAATTTTTATTTTTTTTAATTTATATATAATTTTTTATTTAAATTTTAAATCGTATCATTTTTGTTATCTTTTCGTGTTCGTTATCATATCATACCATGTTATCATCGTTGTCATTGTGTGGTGTTAGTGTATTTTATTTAAAATTATCAAAATCTAATTATTTTTAAGTATTTTGGGATTATAATTGATACCATAGTTCACTCTGATTCACATAAGTGAACTAAATAATGATGTATCAGCGATCCATCACATAAGAGAACCAGGCATGGTGCTTATCAAATATATACAACAAAGGACTTAAAAGATTCATGCAAAAAGAAACCAGAAATGGAAATGATAACCAGAAGGTAAGAACACTATATTATATTAAGGATTCATGAAGTCTATTGAAAATTACACAAAATATGATCATTGAGTAAGCCTCTGCATCTCATTTTGGTCATTGAGAGTTTCAATGAGAAGGGGAGGTGCATATTGGGCTGTTCCCTGGTGCTCCTCTGAATCCTGGCAGAATGAAAGAATTATGGTATCGATCGACATCTCCACCACGGCAAAGAAGAGAGTTGCAACTACATAACCAAGAGCCCAACAAACCTGCAAAAAACACATTGCAAGCAGGAATTTTAACACTAGCTATCAGAGTAACTTTAGAAAACTGCAAGCAGCAAAAAAACGATTTCATATCATTGAAAATTTGAGCTTAATATGTTTGCTTGCTCATGGTTCATGCATGTATAAATGTCAATCTCTCACCTACAAAAAATTACAATACTAAAGTCCAAAGAATAGAAAACATACCAGCACAGGAAGCAAAGGGGAGGATATTTTGTTATGAGAAGATCTATACTTGTGGGTATCCAACATGAGGAAACCAAAAACAGCACTTGAAAGGCTGACACACAACTTCCCAAGAAATAGGATAACATCTCCTATTACATTCACCCTCCCTATTCGCAGGATGTTATTCATGATCAATTCTGTTGCAATTGCAGAAGCTCTACAGAAGCTTTTCCCAGTTATAGCAATCTGTTAGAACAAGTTAACATTGAAGATAAAGTTCAGAGTGGCCACACAACAAGAAATAAATCCACAAAACTTGGGCAAATAGACTCCTAGTTAGGTCTAAGTGCAAGATAATAAGTCCTATAACAAAGTTCTTGAATGTGTGAATGAAACAAGAGATCACAACATTGGCAGTTGTAACGACAAAAGTGATACGAATGATGAAAAAGAGCCGGCTTTTGCAAATTTTTTGTTCTTTTACTCCTCATTGACCACCAGCATCAACTTGTTAGGTTTCCATGGGAAGGCTGGTGTCAGGCATTTCCCAGACAGAAAAGCAAACATAGAATTTCATTTTCCTCTGTTCCCTTTACTTTTTTTAGGATAGATATACAAATAATAATAATAATAACGTATAAGCATTTGGAAAATGTATGGATATGTTTAGTTTTATTCAAAACTAGTTCTGGAAGAATACCATTATATAAGCATTGCGATTCACTGATTTGATTGTCCACTGAACACATCTCAAACATCCCTGCGAAGTATGATATCCCATCTTTCCAAACCAACTATCTGGTGTAGTACCAGCAACTTTGAGTTTACGACGAATTGACTCAAGAATGAAACGAATTGATTCTACAAAGGATACAATCAATGATCCAAGGGCCACAGACCCAAGGCTGTATCGTATAAGCCGCTTCATAGAGGCAAAAACAGGAAGAAATGGGATCTCTGGCTGCAAGAGTGAACCACAGAAATATTCAGGGAAGAATAAATCATCAGGAATAAATACCTCCAAAAAGAAAAGGAAAAAAAAAAAAGGAAATAGAGACATAAAATTCTTAAGTAAGATAATGTGCACACTTATAAATATATTCTTTATTGTGTTACTATATTACTTACAAATATATACAAAATAATTTCCATATTACTTAGAAATAGATACAGAGTAAACTAAAGAATATGTCAATCTTGCACAAGCAGTTCAACTATAACTTTAAGATCTTTGGCATTTGTATAAAACCCAGCTTCAGGTTTTGCTTGATTTGGGAGGTTCTAAACTGTTTGCAGAGTGGCTGTCTACAACCATGACCACCAGCATAGAAATTTGTATACAAACAGCATGTAATGTATACCTGTGAAACTATAAAGTGGTAGTAGCTTACCGATGTTTCACCTCGAGCCCAATAGTAAGAGGCAACAGAACCAGCAATCACAGTTGAAGAACATGCTATGAAAAATTGTGTAGCCCAGTAACACCCAAACAGGTGGAAGAAGATGGCAACAGCAATATGAGGAGTGTAATGGATGCTATAACCACAGCAACGATCACAATTAACCTTTTTCGACTCAAGATCATAAGCACAGCAGTTGGTATTACAGTTGTCTTGGATGACCTGACCAGAACTGAAAAGATGGAGAGCAGCTGATATCCAGAACATGTAAAAAATAGCAAGAATCGCATATGGTATGATAGGAAAAATGATCAGTGCTTGTGCTTCTCCTATGACCTTTGCAGCAACCTGCATTCGGTTGGAAGGATAATATCATCTTTAGCTCTTTTTTATATTATGAAACCAAAATGACCATTATAACAAAACAAAAACCAAAGAACACCATTATAGACCAAGGAAAAGTAAAGAGCAAAAATAGGCACTGGTACAACCTAAAACGGGAAAATGCATGATTAGGAGGTTTATCTTGTCTATCCGGATGCACCATTGGCAATATCAGAACTCACACTAGAGAAAACATTTGGGTTCTAGAACAGGGATTTTTATGCAGCCTATTGCTCAATCTCACAGAAGCATCCAGCTTCTGCTGTACAAGTGCTAGCCTAGATTAGTACTTGACATCTAGGAAGACACAAGATGTAACTTGGCACTTCCATCCTCCAAAGAAATTCTTAACTGTAAGTCACAAAGAACTCAACATCTAGGAACAAACAGAAGTGTGTCTTAAAAGACTATTCTAAGCCACACTAGCTGATGCAAACGCAAATCACTTTAAAACATCATGATCTAAGTAATTGAATCATTTGCATGCCCCTAGATGCAGAAAGCACTATTTTTTTCTTTTCCTTTCTTTTCAGAGCCATGTCAAATTATCTAACAGTATAGGTTTCAGAAAGTCTGGTCCTCCTCACAACATATGATAACTAAATCATACTTGCCTTCAGGACCGATGTTGCCATTAGGATGCGGCGAACAATTGCAATAGATGTTAGGATGGAAACAACCATAACAGATGTCATAAGAATGGCAACAGCACGTAGATGATTTAGTTCCTGAAAGAAGCAAATCTTTAGCATGTACAAAATACAAATATACCAGTTATTATTAAAGCTACCTAATAAAGATAAAAACAATAACCCACCCGTCCATAAACATGTATGTATGGATCATGCTCACCAATGATAGGGGAGATGGCATCATTCCCAATCCATCCAGCTAAAAAGCAAGAAGAACAAGATAAATTTAGTATTTTATTGAAACTAGTAGTTCTCCTTGCATTCAAATACATACACGAAACAAATTAAACTATTTCTAGTATGAATTCTGAATTTACAGTATCTGGTAAAGAATACTAAGAGGTAAGAGGAATACTTTTAACCTTTTAAGTAGTAAAACATTGTAACTGTTATTATGAGAATGTTAAAGAGGGCAACTGTGATCCATGGCATTGCAGTAACAAAATGGCGAATCATTAACAGCCATACTACTGACAGAAATAGTGGCAAGAGCCCTCCACAAACTATCAATACTGGCCATGCCTTTCCAATATCAGCCATGTAACGCTGCAATAATACATGAGATTAACTTTAAAATCTAGAATATGTAAATTCATATTTCATAAAGTTAGATGATAACACTTTTCATTTGTTCGTCACAATAAGTATTAAATAAGCAACCACATTGAGGATTGCTTTGCCCAATAACCAATAAGTTGACAGAACCTAGAAGTACATACGAGGATAAATTACAGAAATGTAGTAACAAACTCGTCATACAGGCAAAGAAGAGTAATCATAGTTTATTGATAAATCTCAAGGAGTTAACAGTTCAAACACAATCTCTCTCTCTCTCTCTCTCTCTCTCTCTCTCTCTCATCCCCAATCAAAACAAGCTAGGCAGGAAATTGATATAGGCAAGATAATTAAGATACATCCTTGACAAGCATAAATGTTTTGCAGGAAAGTTGCTCAACCTTTAAGACAGATGACCGAGAATTGATGGACCTGTGAATGGATTTATCTATTACAATATCCTCATTGATTTTCACTCCACCCATCTGTTGCCAATGCCGCAAAGATGAGTTTGATGCACGAGCAATGAATTGGCAGCTCCAGTAAACTGGAAAAGCAT